GGGGAGCCGGGGGGAGCCGGGCTTTCCGTAGGTTCGTTCTGTCACCCGTTTGGGGACAAAGTTTGGGAATAAAGGGAGGGTTTCCCCGCCTAATCCCGGACGGGACGGAGAGCTGCGAAAGGAAAATGCGACCGTCTGCTCCGTGGGGTCCCGTTCCCCGCCTCCCGCACCTCCAGCTGGGCTCCGTCCTGTGATGCTTTCGGGGGACCGGGCAGGGGCTTGCGGCAGGGCGCCCGGGTGCTTTGGGCTATAGCCGTGAGAAATGAGTCTCCACGGTCTCTCTGCAGACTGGCCGTGGTTCCAACCAGAGGAGTCTGGTGCTTCAGGTCCTGAAGGATGCGAATAACTTAGTGCCCGCCTGGGCACTGCTGTCTCCTGGAGAAACAGCCTGAGGAGCCAACCTGTCGTACGTCGTGTTACTTTACACCAAGTTCGCAAGACTCTTCTGCAGCCTCCCTTCCTGCAAGGAGTGTCAAAATAGCACCTTTCCTTTCTGTTACAAGCTGATACCAATTGCTCATATAAAAATGACAGCCTGAAAGAGGGAGGGCACTGTAGAATAAGTAGCCATACGGTGACATTTAATGTAATGGTTGTTGGTAGGGGGTACCTAATCTGGGCTTCTTGCTGTAGTGCATAGGTGACGAATCTGACCAGGTTCTCTCTTCTTGCAGGGCAGAGTGAGCCCTGCGGAGACGCGCTAGAGGGACCACCCTTCATTTTGCATCTTGGTGAGTGGACTATGGTGGCAGGAAGATGTTGGCTCGGAAGAGTATCATCCCTGAAGAGTATGTGTTGGCACGGATCGCTGCCGAGAACCTGCGCAAGCCACGCATCCGAGACCGGCCACGCAAAGCCCGCTTCATCGCCAAGAACGGGGCATGCAACCTGGCACACAAGAACATCCGCGAGCAGGGGCGATTCCTGCAAGACATTTTCACCACCTTGGTGGACCTGAAGTGGCGTCACACGCTGGTCATCTTTACTATGTCCTTCCTCTGCAGCTGGCTGCTCTTCGCCATGATGTGGTGGCTGGTGGCTTTTGCCCACGGCGACATGGACCCAAGCACAGAAAGCCCTACGAACAGCACAAAGTGGACACCATGCGTGACATGTGTCAGGTAAAGTACGGTCTGTGGGATGAAGAAGGTGGGGGAACAAAGCTGCTTGCTGTCCTGCCAATGCCTAAAATGCAGCTTTTAGTTTACGTGAACTGTTGTGTTTAGTTGAGACAGTTGAAAAGTGTGGTGTTTTCCTCTAGATTACGTAAATTCAGCAAGCCTTCTGGGCTTGGAAAATACTGTACTGTAGATTTCTTTGATTCCTTACAGGATCTGAAAGAGAGGGAGACCTGCTGCTTTTCATGTGTCTCCACACTCTGTGGGTAACATTCCTTGCCTGTCGAGCTAAGAGCCTGCTACAAGAGTGGGTATGTGTTATATGTATTGTAACGTTGTCTACGGCAGCGGGAGCATCCCCAGCGTGATGTGAGCCACTCGCTGTATCGGCAAAAGGTGGTAACCCCAAAAGCAGTGTCTGAGTGGTACCAGCCGTGGGTGGTGTCAGGCAGGGCTAGCGAGCAGAGTGCCACTTAGGGCAAAATTGGATGTCTTTCAAGATGGCTCTCATGAGACAGGTAAATATGAGGTGCTTCAAAATACCTTGATAAAGCCATAGACCCGCAGTTGGACAGGAACAGTTTCCACAGTGTGCATGATGTGTCAGACAGTGAAAGCTTAAGGGACTACTAAATTAAATGTCACATGTTAAAGTATTTTACTCTCCATCCCCAAAGCCATGACAATTTTCAGAGCACTGATAAACTGACACATATATACATGGAATAGAACAGTGTTTGTTAATTGGAGCTGGGGTAAGTAATAAGATTGCTTTGTCATCTCATCAGTAAAATCTCTTTTTATAGCACTAGGGTTTTAAGCAGAAAAATCCTGATTCGGTAGTGCCAGACTGCCCCAGATCAGCTGCCTTTACACATTGCAGTGTGGTGAGGGACTGGGGGGGGGGCTGCAGTGTCTGCTGAGACATTGGAGTATCTGCTTCCCTTTCTCCTTTCTCCTGCACATAGTTTTGAGGCACCTCACCAAGTTTGAAGTGACATTATATTTGGCTCATGATGGAGCAAAGATTTCATTCTCCCTTTGTTTTGACATTTTTTTCCTAAACGAATATTTTTGGAGCTAACCTTCATTACGTTGGAGAGTTGGAGTGTGGGGGGGTTGCTGCCTTTTTTCTTTCCCAATAACTAGCCACAAGCAGTTGCCTCTGAAATGAGACATCATGACCCAGCTTGCGCCTGCTGGGGTGTCACCCCTGGTGTTTCTGGGATTTGTGGGATTTGTCTAACCCAAATTAGTGGGTAACTACACCCTACCAGCTCTTCAGGGTCAGCTGGGGGGACATCCCTCTGCTTAGCTGGCAGCCCCCTTGGCTTGGCCCACCCCATGGGGCTCCCCACAGGGCTCCTGGGCCATCCCGCAGAGCCTGAGCTGGCTGCTGAGGGCTTCATGCCACTGGGACGAGGTAGACCCACGGCTGCATCTCTGCCCCTCACTCCCTCCCCATAGCCCCGGCTGCGGCAACCCCACACCGATGGCTCTTCCAAGATGATAGCTAACCTCCACTGCAAGGACAGCCTGGAAGGGTGTGAAAAAACAGAGCAAATGAATCGGTATAACTTTCTGGTTTAGCCCGTGACAAAGAACACACATGGCTCCCTTGTGCAAGTACCTGGGGTGGTTCAGCCAACAGCTGCTCAAGTGTCCATGTCCAAGCCGTGGAAAGTCTTTTCCCTTCATAGTGAAATACTTCATCTTGTTAAATCTGGCTACCGCTTTGGAGAAAGTGGTGAAATAGCAATATGATTGCTGACATTTTTAAGAATGGTGAGTTGTTGGATATAAAATGTATTTAATATTGCAGTGATATGTATGCCAAAATAATGGCAACTATTTTTTAACCCAGTTTCCTGAGATTTAGGCCCATAGATATTTCAGGAGAGCTTTCTTGGGTAGGTGCCATTACAGATTTACAGGAAACCTGGTTTTGGAAATTTTAACCAGTGCCTAGAACTTGCACAGCACTTCAGTTTTTCAAAGCACTGCAGAAATTTCTAAGTTTCATAGCTCTTTGCCACAGAAACCAAACGTTACCCAAAGAGGAAAACTGTTACAAGCTCTAAGGGGAAAGACCTGGGAGCAGTGTGATTTGGAGTTTCTGGCTCCCTCTTCACATGGTCAAAATGCTGTATAAACTTGCTGCTTCGGTTACTTCCACTGTAAAAAAGAGGATTCTCTTTTCTTTTTTTTTTTTTTGTTTGTTTGTTTTTAAAGAAGCGGTATATTTACTGTTAAGGGAAATCAGAATATTTACTCCACAGAGCTTTAAGCTGAATTAAGCTGAATTAAGTTTAAACCAGAAGCTTCATTCTGCATGTAACTAAATATTCATGAACATAATAAATCATTCCATGGATTCTATTAATAAACTCCTTCATCCCTGTTTTCTTCATAGTGAAATGCGAAAATAAACCCCTCAATACAAGGGAATCTGCCAAAGATTAAAAAAATACAAAAGGGAAAAAAAATAAGACAAAGTTCTTTCGAAGATATCTCTGCAAAGACTGGCTGGTTTTCTGAAAGAAATTTTTTAATTCTACAGGAAATTATCCCTGATATTGCCTATGCTATTTTAATGTCTCCTTATGACCTCAAGTTCACTGAAAATATGGTTAGGGAAAAAAAAGGAAAAATTATTTAAAAGCTGATTAATTGAAAAGCAAACCAAACTCAATGAATGGTTTAGAACCATCTTCATGGGCAGGACATATTTTCCATAGGTAAGCCATGTTGAGCATGGCAATGCTTCAAATGTTGGTGGATTGCACTGTTTTAGAAGGGTGACTATGATATTAGTTCAAATGAGACCCAATGTGCTGCAAGCCTACTGGCTAAACCTCAAGGTACTGATTTTGAGACTTTGGTGAAGGATGTATCTGGTTATAAAAGGAAATTAAAGACCCTCATATATACAGGGGATATGACATTCTGGACTACTATAAATAATGTATTTTGGAAAGTTTGTGGACAGCATTCTCTGATGTCCAACTCTACAGCATATTAGGGATGCTTAACTTAACCCACACTTCTACAACCCAATTCTGTGTTGAAATTTTCCAGCTAGTCTTGCCACAGCAGTGAGCTAAACCCACACCCTGGGTCACAGCGTTGTCCTCCTGCCAGGATGTGCAGAGGGGACTGTGGAGACCACTGACCTCTCTCTGCAGCCTGATCCTGCGAGCTCAGTCACAAGGCGAGCAAGAGTTTGGGAAGTGTCATAAATCTGGGAGTGTACCCTTTCCCTCCAGGAAATCCTGCTAAAGGGGGTCACAACTCAGGTAGTATGAGTGGAATGCTGCAATTTTCCCCATTTCCTTTCCCTGCACAGGCTGGTGGAAGAATCTTGGTGTGACAGCCAATTGCTCACTGTTCCCAAAACCAACACTCTCCACCAAGAGCTTCATGGGATGGAGAAGGTGGAAAGCCCAGGTTTTACAGCACCATCAACTAATGCAGTGGGCAGCGTGTGTTCCTGAACAGAGGATCTAGTGAGCTTCTCAGGGTCACCTAGTGTTACAGATGGTCTTTTAGGAGCTCAGGCTCTGAGGTCTTCCCTGTCACCATCAGATACTGCACTGATCATACAAAAACAGAGTCACCGAGCATGCAGTGCTTTTGCTGGTGTTAACAAAAGGCTTAAGTGTCCCAGGACTGTACAAATAGATCTTTAAGTTTGTTTCTAGAAAGTATGTGTTAATAGCTTCTCGGTTTGTATTCGATGTACTCAAAGTTAACTTTGTGCAATCTTCTTCTCCAGGTCTTTCACCTCCGCTTTCCTCTTCTCCATTGAAGTTCAGGTGACCATTGGTTTTGGGGGGAGGATGATGACAGAGGAATGTCCCTTGGCCATCACAGTCTTGATCCTGCAGAACATTGTGGGTTTGATTATCAACGCGGTCATGCTAGGCTGCATATTCATGAAAACTGCACAAGCACACAGGCGGGCTGAGACCTTGATTTTCAGCCGGCAGGCAGTCATTGCAGTTCGAAATGGCAAACTTTGCTTCATGTTTCGAGTGGGAGACCTGAGGAAGAGCATGATCATTAGCGCCTCAGTGAGAATCCAGGTTGTGAGGAAGACTACAACCCCTGAAGGAGAAGTCATACCCATTCACCAAGTAGATATCCCTGTGGATAACCCCATTGAAAGCAACAATATTTTCCTCGTGGCTCCCTTAATCATTTGTCATGTCATAGACAAGCGGAGTCCTCTTTACGATATCTCTGCTGCTGACCTGGTGCTTCAGGACCTGGAGCTCATCGTGATACTAGAAGGAGTCGTAGAAACAACTGGCATCACGACACAAGCGAGAACCTCCTACATAGCAGAGGAGATCCTGTGGGGTCACCGCTTTGTGCCCATCGTCACCGAAGAGGAAGGCGTGTATGCAGTCGACTACTCCAAGTTTGGCAACACTGTCAAAGTGGCGGCACCACGTTGCAGTGCTCGAGAACTTGACGAAAAGCCATCCATTCTCATCCAGACCCTGCAGAAGAGTGAGCTGTCCCACCAAAACTCCCTGCGGAAACGCAACTCCATGAGGAGAAACAACTCCATTCGGAGGAGCAACTCCATGCGGAGAACCAATCCTTCCCTCATTGTGCCCAAAGTGCAGTTTATCACGCCCGAGGGGAGCCAGAGTGCATCAGAAACGTGATACACAGCTTTGTGCGAGGTCGGTGGGCTTCGGAAGGAGGAGGTACCCATGGTGTTTGGTTTAAATTTTCTTTTACTTAAGAAAATAGAACACAATGCAGAAAAGAACCGTGAAAGAACTATTTATTCTATTACTTACTGAAAGCACCACCTAATGGCATTAGGAAACACTTAAACACTTAGTGTATGAATTAATAAAAAATGGCATGTACACTAAAGAAAACACAGATCACTCATGTAATATAATATGTATTTATACTTGTTTTAATAGCATGCTAATCTTTTTAATTGTGTTTTTCCTATCAAGGGTCTCTTTCTTATCTTCTTCTGCTGGCTGTCACAAAACGTGGGGTTTTTTCCTATGTAAGTGGGTTACCCACCTGCAGGCAGAAGTGAGTGCTCTTTCAAAACTGCTGCATACAACAGCTCTCACAGATTCTGTGTGGGATATTTGGATATCGATCTTTTTGGGGTGAATTCTATGTTCTCTTGAAAGGAGTAGCTACATTCCTCAATGATTTCACTGGAGAAGAGCCAGTATTTTACCTTCAGTTTTCCAGACCTTTTCTTTCCGTCAGTTTATGGCAAAAGTGTTTTGAGACCAAATTCAGGTCAGCTGAAGTGACCTGACCATCTCACAGGAGAACTGGTGCGGCTCCAGGCAGCACCGGCAGAAAAAACAGCAAAACAGGCTCTTACAGAGCACTGTTCTTCTCAGGGTGAGATATTCCACTGCAGGACAGCGTGCGTCTGTAATGTAGCTGTAGCCCAAGCTGAGAAACTCAAGGCCTCCAAGCTGCCACCAGAGCATCCCTTTCACTGAAATTATTCAAGTTGAAAAAAGCACGTGCCTCTTTAACATCCTCTTCATACCGGTGGAAGACCAAATCCTGTTTTGTTTTCTCTTATACACTTTCATACATTGAAGGCAGTAAGTGCACTTCCTTCACTTACAGTGTTTTTCGTAGGATTAAGTCTGTTTGCTTCAGCAGAAGGTTAATTTTTGCCAGTGGGAATTCATGAATGAGAATGAGAGGGAATCATGCCAATAATATTAAAGATAGTATTTTCAAAACTATCTGAATAATTTTCAGGGGGACTTGGGTGCTTCTGCTGAATTACTATTTTTCAGCAGTGTCTAACCTGTCTTTTTATATAGTACGGCATTGAGAATTAGTGGTAAGCAGCTTTTCTCTTCAACTTAGAATGCACATTTGCTATCTAGAACCTTCCCAAAAATGTCATCACAAGTTTTTCTACAAGAATAAATAAATGGATGACAATTAATTGTATCACATTTGGTAAGCTAAATTGAAGCATACTTTTTTCCTCTGTGAATAAAAGGTAGAATTATGAACAAATTCCTGTTCAAATTTCTTACAAAAGTTGTCTTATTATGTCTGTGGTTCAAGTGAAGTACTATCCTTGTACTGACTCTCTGAGCCACTCAACCACTTTAATACTTCTGTGATTTTAAATATTTGATTATTCCTATCAGGTAAAATAGTCAAAAGCAATGCTGGATTCTCATTCTCTTTGGAAGTCAGTTCATCAGCACTTGTGTGGGCGGTTTGCAGGCTTCGTGTGGTGTTGGGTGTGGCACGGAGGGGCATTGCTTTGTAGTGTAGGCTCCCTACATTTGGAGCAGGTGCTCTCCAGCACATAAACACTGACAAAATACTTCATCTGAAGCAGTAGCGGAAACTGAAGTTTCTGCTAAAAGCATTCATTCCCTGGCCTGCCCATTAATGTTCTGAGAGGATGGATGGTGAACATCTGGAGATATTAATCTGTCCATTGTGTGTCCAAATAATGAACATCTGCAGCTTCCAAGAAGAGTCAGAGCGAAGCATATACAATTTGTCTCTGGCCTCCATTTCCACGGCTGTGAATTTCTTTGAGGCTGTCTGTTTGATATATGGTTAAGTTAGATGCTGTACAAAAACAAATTTTCTACAAAATAAAAAAGTGACAATAATGATTTCTTCCGTCTCTGATTTTTCCCTATTTCTTTCCCTTTTTTCCTTTGTATTCTCCTTTCATTCTTCTGTACTCAGTCCTTCTTCTATCCCAGCCTTTTCCACAGTCCTTTTGAGTATTAGTTTTATATTATCTCAATACTCTTTCAGTATTTCAGTTGAGGTTTTTTTTACCCACAACCATTTTCTCATTTTCTCCGTAAGTACATTCCTCCTTCCAATGTTTATTTCTCCTTCTTCCCCCTCTCTCCTTTACACCTAATGTACTCTCTTTCCTGTGAGACTATTACAGGGATATTGGTATTTTGAGGTAACGCTAAGACACTTCAGTCATATGCAAGGATGCTGAAGAGATACACAAGGCAGACCTTTGTGTCATGAATGTCATGTTCATATATGCTGTGCTCCTGCTCCTTGCAGAAAAATCTCTTAGTGCAAAGCCCCTTTCTTGAGCAAGTTTTGCGGTCCTGGAAGAGACCAGCAGCAGCAGAAGTCAGTGTAAGCCACCTGGCTGTCCATGGAGAGCGGTGGGGAGGATTTGGGGCTGGGAGTTGCGTTCCTTGCTGAAGGACAGGTTTCAGACCCAGCTTTGCAGCATCGTGCCTGCTGAGAGGGGATGAGCTGGCAGCACCACGATTCAATATGTTTAATTATTTATTCTTCCTAGCAACTTTATCAGATGAAAGGGGGTTTATTTTAAATTTGAAGTTTTCTGTGTTTGAAGTACACTGCCAAGTTAAGAATGACAGTTGAGATTTCTCTGGAACACTGCTGACAGTTCATGCTGGCATTTAACCCTCCATCTCTCTCATTGATAATAATTTAGAAAATTAGAAGCAATAATGTATAAGCATCGTTTGACTGCAGTCCCTTCACACTTACTTGCATCCCTACCATTCCCATTTCCCTGTAACATGGTGTAACTGGAACTGTGTTATTCAATATCGCTTATTCCGTGCATTTAATATGTTTTTGCTCTTTGAACAGCCTACCAGGCAGATGTCGCTGGGGAGCAAAACCATTTCCTAAAAGTAGAAAAGTGATTATAAAGTCCTTCAGGACAGGCATAATATCAGGGACTGCACTTTATTTTTTTTTCTAGCCTTAACTTAAAGAACTTTTCTATTTTAAACAGAAAAATGGCAGTGAGACCCTTTGTCCTCTCTTTGGATACCCTGAAGATTCAGAGTTACTGTGGTGGGGCCATAGAGAGCAAACAAACACAGACAGAACTTACAGGGGATATAAAGCTTAATGCTCCAGCATCGAAGCCAGCCTCTGAGTAATAGGATTTGGAGGAAACTTTCCCTGTTGGCAGGTTATTCTGTAGCTGTCACCTTCAGGATTTCTTGCGCTCTCTTTTGAAACATCTGGTGTGAGCCAGGGACAAAGGCAGGACCCTGGCACGGGTGCACCTTGAGCAGGGCGGGTGGATCAGCTCTCTGCAGGAGGCCTGGCAGACCACAAATACAAGGGCTCTTCCTTCCATCCCGCCCAGAGCAATGCCATCAAACCTTGCAGCGAATCCAGCCACTGGAGACCTCCAGCTGCAGCCAAGCCTTGCCAGGATGTGCAACATACGGTCATTGAGTACTGGCTAGAGCCCAAAAAGTCTGGCTCCAGAGAGGAGCCCTCAGTGCCCATAGCATGGAGAGGAGTGCTGCCAAAAAAGACAGAGCTCAATGCTCTGGTTTGGGGCTGCCTGCTGGAGGGGGTAACCTGGCTGAGCGGGCCTGCCGGGGTGGTCTGTGCCACAGGCAAGGCAGTGGGGTTGCCTTTCAAGCCGGGGCTGGGCCAGCGCTGCTGAAGATACACGCAGGATAGGCACCTAAGCATTAAAAGCTAATGGAAGAGGGATCATGACTCAATGAGCAATAACTGGGTGTATTTTGGGTTCCCTGGGGCACCCTGGCTGGCCTCGACAGCTGCTCTGATGGCCACTGGTCTCCTGTCAGGGCCATGACACTCCTGCCTGCTCAAAGCACCCCTCTTGTGCACCCTCCAGTGCACCCAGGTGCATCCTGCTCTGTGTACCAAACCCCCTCTAAAGCCTGCAAAAAACCACGCTTTGAACCTCCCCATAACACTTGGCATCACTGTGGCATTGTACAATGATCCCCCTCCTGAGCATTGCTTCATGGGCACGTCTTGCACCACAGCGGTTTGCCCTTGTGAATACAACATCTTGGCTCCATCCACAGAAGGGTTAACCCAAGCTTTCTGGGATACTCAAGACATCTTACAGCAAGAGAGCCAGAAATATATTCAGATTGAGTTAATACGTCCTGTATGCAATAGGCCTTTACCCTAATGCAATGTCTTACTGTAATCCATCGGGTCATTTCAGAGGCACAGGACTTGACCTACCTCACAGCCATCTTGAATGTATTTCACAAAAGCATGCACCTTTATCTGTATTGCATAAATAAAAGGGAAGGAATCATGCTTTTGCCTTTCGATCTGCACCATTCTTGCTGACTGAAAAAACATGGCTAATTCTGCATATCTTTTCTTCCTTCACAAACTAGAGATTGAGGACATTTTGTGAAACCAGTTTTCAAGCTGTCCAGTGATTATTATTAGCAAATGCTTGTTGCTGCAAGCTGAAAAAGTAGTTAGTCCAAGACCAAAAAGGAAATTTGACTGGAGAAAAAAACATTGGATATTATATGATGAAAGGAACAAAGTTTTCATTATTTTTGACAAATTATATTCTCTGTGGAGCCTGATATTTTCAAAACACTGGTGGGGGTTTGGAAGGCACCATCAAGCAATAAATCATGTCCTGCTAGACTCTGATTTTGTGTTGTGCTACTATTAGCAACAGGGTTTTGTAGCCCCAGCACAGCATCCTACAAGTGTGCGTCAGCCTAGTCTCCGGATGTTTGCAGTCACCGAACAGGATGCTGGGGATTCACGGTGAGCTGGGTGGTGGCTGATTCCAGGAGCTGTGGTCACCAGACTCTATGAGGAGTGGTGCTGGGGCTTGTGGATATGGGGTGGGGCTGGAGGCAGCAAGGACCAAGGTGTCAGTGTCCTGGGTTGGATGACTTGTGCCCAGGAGCAGACCGGAAAGTGGTGTGGCTCCCCAGGTGCTTTCCACAGTGTCCTTCACAGGAAGGTATCATTCTTCATGTCAAGCTGATGGGGGACACTCTGTGTGTGGGGGGGACACACTGCTGTGTGTGACAGATGGCAGTGAAATACAAAATGATGGAGTAAATTAACACTTCTCTAAACCTGATTTCT